GCATTAAACAAACAATATTAACTAATAAAAACGATCAAACCCACTGTAAAAACTAATTAAAACTGAATTAAAAGAAAAAAGTCACAACAAAATAAAACTAAACTATAACAAAAAATCCTAAACCATTATAACCTTGGTGCCCAGTACGTTCCCCATCAGTGTCTGGTTTGTGCCAGGTATGTACCCAGGAAGTACCCTGTCAGTGTATTAGTACCCAGTACACAAAGGCTCAGTTTGTACACAATAAGAGGTYCTTTGTATGGTTTAGGTCAGGGGTTGTCAAACTGTTTGGGTCTGGGGACCCCTCATGAACCCCATGCTGTTTACAGTCATTTTAACCCCTGAATGCCATGAAAATATTCTTATGTTTGTTTAGTATAGTAGTACAGTACAGGAGTGTAGTATTGTGTATAAGTGTTGATGTGTTTTAGTAGGAAACTAAAGCAACAGTATTTAGGTGTTGTTGTCGGAGCAGCGGTGGGAAGCCCACCTGTTGAGCAGGAAGGTGTTGTCGGAGCAGGTCAGAGCCTCCAGCAGGATCTTCTTCTCCGACACGGCGCTGCTGGAGTGGAACTTCATCCAGATGAACTCCCACACGTCCTCGTCCATCAGGCTGACCCCGGTGCAGTACACGATGTCCCGGATGTTGGGAGGAATCCTGCAGGGACGAGGAGGACAGGGGGTCCCGGAGTCAGAGCTGAGGGGACACGACTGAGTGAGAGAGGAGCTGCAGAGCAACAAAACCCTGCTTCTGAGCTTCTTCACACCATGAAACACAAAGTTCTATGTTGTATAGGCTCCGCCCTTTAAGGCTCCGCCCTTTAAGGCTCCACCCTTTAAGGCTCCACCCTTTAAGGCTCCGCCCTTTAAGGCTATTGCTATTGGGTTTATCCCTCGTGCACTGCGCCATGAAAGGTGTTTGATTACTCTGCCTGGCTTTCTCAAGGACCAGGATGTGACACAAAAATCTGAATTATGGAACTGAAAGTGAAAGTAGTCAAACTGAATTTTTAATAAACCAAAATACAATTTTAAAGAAAATTAATTCAGATACAAAACTTTAAATACAGTTTCAGTTTAGTGAAATGTAGTTTCAAACCAATGCATTCAGATTCAGTTGCTGCTGGCACCAGGTTGATCCCACAGGTTTGTTCTGTTAGAGCAGTGTTTCCCAAAGTTGGGGTCGGGACCCAAAGTGGGGTCCCGAAACATCAAGGTGGGGTCCTGAAAATATTTTCTGAATTAATTACATTTTTGCTTTAGTTGTTACAAATTACTGAGGTTATATTTAAAATGGATAAATGTAGTATAATAAACATTGTTAC